GTCTCATAGTCCTTGTATGGCCATAGGTAATATGAATTCTCCCTGCTTGGATCATTTAGATGATAATTTTGCAGCAAAATTTTGTGAAGCAATCTTATTTCCCTCACTTTCAAGTTCCTGGGAGACAATTCACCACACCTCCCATCAACAATTGTTTGGATGGGAAATTCAGGCTGGAAGGGCATTGGAAGTAATTCCTCTAGAATATAAATGARTCTGCAGAATGTTTTCTTACTCATTACCTACTTCTTCTTCAACTAGCCTTTTTGGAGTTAGAGCTCCCGATGGTTACAGTCTGCCTGCAAGATCTAGTCACCTGCTTGATGGGTTGTGTTAAACCATCTATCACAACAGTAGTAATTTTTCCTTTCAGTTTGAAGCATGCTGAATCCTTATCCCTTCTGCTTCCTTCTTGATGAAAAGCTGCTGAACCTTCCATTGATTCTCAAAAGGAGTTATAGCTTTTAGCACTGCATTAATCTACTTCTGCAGATCGGGGTATTTATTTTTGAGATCTCCATCATGTTGACTTCCATATTTGGACACTATAAAGTAAGAATCATTGGGAAAAAAAACAGCATCTGAAAATATACTAATGAGCATCTTAATTATGTACCCACCCTTCAGTTATTGCTTGGTGGGGGAGGGGCAGTAATTTTTTTTTTAAAGAATAAGAACCAGAAAATAYCATATTATATAATTCTTTAAGGTTCTTCTTATCTGCCTAATTGCAACATAAATTCCTTTAAAACAAATCATTAAAATAAATGTGGGTGTAGAAAGAGCTCACTGAGGGGGGAAGGACTGCAAATACCTACCAGGCAAGTCTCTCCTTATTCTTCTGGAAGGTGGTAGCATAATGGCCCTGCGAGTTGTATGTATTTGYCTGCTGATGTGATATTTCTATTCTAGAAGATGTATTAGTACTAAGATCATATACTGTGTATCACAGAAACTTTCACTGAAGCTCATGCATGTCTATGCTTCCTTTCCTCAGTGCAAGTTTAGCAATGTCTCAGACACCAGAAATGACATACCTCAATGTTCAATATGAAGGGACAACTTGGACGAGGCACTTGCACCTCCTTATGCCTCTTCTGTAAAACAGAAGGACTGAATTAGATGACTTCTTCAGTTCCTTTCAGTTCTCAAATTTTTTTATCACTCTTGAGAATTAACCTTTCTTGTCTTTGTCTTCCTTCCCTTCTTTTTTACCTTCCTATCAGCTACTCGTCTTAAGTAGTTTTGAGGTTGTTTCAGAGATGGACTTTCCCTAATAAAATCAAGCTTCAGGTTCCTCACTTGATTCTTTCCAAATAAAAAAGTTCAGTTTCATGTCTAAATTTGTATTTTAATAATATGTCCTTTGTCTTAAGGAGAGCTCTCAAATTCGTATGCCCTTCTAGGCCCCACAAAAATCTGTATTCCCTCTGGATGGCTTAGGGAAATAGAAAGATAGAAATAAGAGCATCAAAATGAGAATTAAAAAGGAAGATCTGAGAAAAGGAATAGAAAGAAAATGAGCCAAACATTAAGTGTTGGACAGTTTCCCCAGATGAGGACCCTTTTGTGCTCAAGCCTCTGAGTTTCATGAAATACAAAGCAGTGAAAAGAAATCTACACATAACTCTTGCTATCAGAAGAGCCTTATGAATGCAAAAACAACAAAAAAGTTCCTTAAGCCTGAACTCAATTTCAGTGAAACACTTTATAGGGGACAAAATCRTGCTATGGGGGCTGGGGATGTGGCTCCAGTGGTAGAGCACTCACCTAGCATGTGTGAGGCCCTGGRTTCAATCCTCAGCACCACATAAAGATAAATAAATAAAGGCATTGTGTCTTTCTGCAACTAAAAATATTTTTAAAAGTTATACTATGATAAAAAATGATGTTTTCACAATGATAGGAACCTTCCTGGAAACACATAATAAATTTTTGTAAATACACATTGTGAAGTTCTTAGGTATCAGGCATCATCCTGGGAAGATATAGAGACACAGAAAGGATAAGGATTAGGGTGAGGTCCCCTTGGTGCTCTCAGGCAAAAACAAAAACAATCACAAATAAATTGATACATTGATCATGGAGACCTGTACCAAGGGCTGTGAGATCACAAAGGAGAGAGCAGCTACCTCACATCAGGGATATGAGAAAGAAAGGGAAGAAATAACTTCTGAGCCCAGTTTTAAATGTAAACATATTCTTTACATAATAGATGTCACATCACAGGGAATGTTTTAAACTGCCAACATGTGCCTAGACAATTTTCCTGAACATAATCTGACTCACTTGTGTTGCTTATGGTCACAGTCGCTGTTGTAAGATGCAATCGAATTCATTGATTCATGCCTCGAATTCATTGATTCATGCCTAAAGACACCCACCTTTCATGAAATGAATTGCTGAAATTCATTTCCAGGCCTTCCTATATTATATTCTAGAGTGTTTGAAGGATCTCTCATGGCTAACTTGTAGCCTTTTTAATAGATGTGAGAGGTTTATGAAATTCTTTAGGTGTCTGCAGGTAACTAAAAACAAGGTTATTATTTGGACATTGTAAAATAAGAACCATTAGGGGAAAAAATAGCATCTGAAACTATACTAATGGACACCGTTGGTGTTCAGATATTTTCAACTTCAAAAATCTGTATTCAAATGAGCAGTTTAAAATCTTTTCTAAGCCATTCCCATTTTACTGCAGTGGAATAGAAAGTGAGTCATCTGGCAATCTCTCAAAAAAATTGTAAACCACAAAATGAAGAAGAACCTGAATTTTAAGCATCCAATGCTAGGCAATAACATCTTCATGAGGAAAATAGGATCTCAGAACGGCCTTGTCTGGCGTGGCATATATTCTTGGAATGAACATGACTTTCCTGCACTGGTATCCCCAAGGGGATGGAAACATTTCTATGTCTTTCTGAAGTTTTCAACTGTAGCAAGTACTGCATAAAACAATCTGGCAAATTTGCTTTCCATTGTGTYTTGCCAAACACCCCAAGAACTTCGGACTCCATGTAGTTTGAAAACATATGAAGTCTCTTTGGCCATCTTAACTTCCATTCTCTTTGATGGATTACAACAGGCAAGCAGTTTCCTTGCAATGGAGCAGGATGTTCAATCATGGGGGAAATTTGGAGCTTCTGCAATTGATTCTAAAATTATGATGCTGCTATCATACCTAACYCAATGGGGAATTTGCAAAGGAAAAAGGAAAGAAAGATTCAGTCCCAAGTCAATGTCACACTGCAGCAAAGACAGTCTTCTGAAGTGCAGAGTCAGGAAGCCAGCCATTCTTCACAGAAAWTACATTCAGCTTGAAATTCAGTTCATAGAATAGAGTTAAAATATGGAAATGGAAATTTAGTTTTCCAGTTTTGGTTGATTAGAGATCAGTAATTAAGCTGAAACACTATAAACTCTGAGTATTTAAAATCAAGAGGTTTTTAATGTATCTAATAAATGAAAGTAAGATTTCATTCCTTTCAGGGTTAAAAAAAGTAAATAAAACCTAGAAAGCCTTTATTCCTCACTTTCTCCTTTCTTATCATAAGAAAGAAAATATAACATAAGAAAATATCTCTTGGTTTTAAAAAATAATGCCAACCTAGAAATTTCTGAGCAGGGTACAATGATTAGTTAAAATAAGTAGAGGGCAGTTGTTCAAGGAGAAGTACTAAAATGGAAGCATAATGATTCTTACAGTTAACACCTGTTACTACAGTTAATGATGTGAAGAATAAGTTGAACAACTTATTAACAGCTATCATTTATTGGCTATGTACCATGTGTCAGACATGTTTATGGATTATCTTGTTCAATCCTCACAGCAGCCTCAGAGAGTTTTAGTACTAGTCCCTTTTCTGATGAGGAAGCAGAAGCTAGGGAACTTGCYAACTCATGAGTAGCAAAGCAAGACTGTCCCACAGGTCTGTGATTCCAAACTCATGTTCTCACCCACATCACCACCAAGATTTAGTGGTGAGCATGGAAGTCTCTGACTTTTAACTAGCAATATTCATAAGAGTGTTGCTCGGTGAACCAACCATAGCAATAACAGTCATCATTGCAAGGATAGATACAACACATACAACTTGTGCAACAGTAACTGAGGACTTTCCATCTATCTATTTATATGATCGTTACAACAACCCAGAGAGTTAGGAGACTAAGCCAATGTAATTGAAGGCATAAGCAACTTGCCCCAAGGTCACACAGTTGGTKAGAATTTAGGGTCAGAGCCATGCTTTGAACTTCCTGACTCCTGAGCCTCTACTCTTGACCACAGTGATATGTATTGCTTGGTTAGAAGTTTTAACGTGGATACAAACTAGATTCATGTCTACGTACATCCCAAGTTAGGCCACATTCTGAAATGGCTCCACTACCTTAGCACAACTTGTGAATTAAACTGGAAGGTGGAAAATCAATGAGGTCCATGATCAATATGAACTACCTAATGTATTCTTGAATTATTCTGCTCAATTAAGTTTCTATTATAGGGTTTAATCCACATATCTGACAAGTAAAGAACGAATAAAAATGATGGTTATGTGAAATTAATCAAAAAGTGCCAAATGATTTTCAACAGCTAGCACRTGCATCTCATAACACATTTAAAAAKATCTATTGCATATGTGGATATATTTGCACAGGTCCACACAGTGGATATTTGGTATGCTGTTCCCAGAACATAAGCCTAGCTCAGTACCTATTTTGAACCACAGACAAATATCCATGAACCTTAAAGGCAAACACAAAATACTTGCCACCATGAGGCTTCCTTACACCAGCTATTGAAGTTGAACATTAATTTTCCAATTCTGATCAGCCCAGGAGCTCAAAAATAAAAACAAATTGGTTTAATTGTTTTTCTGTGCTAAACTYAATGGTCTGAATGTTATCACGTATCAAGTTTCTTAACTTTATATATTAAGTTAAAGATGTCATGTACTAAGAAATAGCTAACAGTTTTTCTTTACTGTTTTCTTTCTCTGCAGGTATTCCCAGTATTTCCAGTATTGGTAGTAAGTAAAAAAAAAAAAAATCACCAAACCAAGTCTAGGCTAGCTTTGCTTTGTTGTTCAGCTCTTCAGATCTATTTTCCCAGTGTCCATTTCTGAGGCAGTAGAGCATTTTCCTTGTGAATTGCATTTTTGTGTCCGTTTTCTGCACAGACATGGTGASAACACAGAACCGTTATTTATGCACAACTCTCCTGTGGACATGTCAGAGCCAAAGCTTTCCAGAATACTTTTGACCAATGATGGCCACCTGTACAGAGGTGCAATAGCTTGGAAACTGTAGTTCATTTGGCAAAAATGGAAACACTCCTATTTACCTATACATAGTAGTCAACAAACAAATTGAACTCTTCTTCTATGACTGGTTATGGATCTCTAACATAATTTAGAGAAGCAGAGAATGAATACCAATGAATGCCTTGAGCATATTCATTAGAACCAAAAAGGAGGGGGCATGAAAAGAAGAGGAGGGAATTTTGTTAATGCATTAAACTCGAGGTTTTGTGAAGGCCTGAAAGAGGCAGATTCAGCATTAGTCTATCTGGAGGAATGAAGGRAAAAAAYGATAWTCAATATGTCCATTTCTTCCTCCTAAAACACCGTGATCCACATGTTTTGAGTACTTAGGTTTATATTTGATACAGAAGGGGTATGCAAAATATATTCAGAATTTAGGAGTCAGCGGACCAGAAACTCTAGCARGAAGTCTTTTCTGTAAAAATCTAAGCAACTGAAGAGGAATCTCTCTTCAACCCTCTGTGTAACACTTTTCCAGTGTCACTGAAAATAACATTCTCTGACTTCCGTGAGAGTCCCAGACTGCAGCTCCCTCTTTGCACATAAAGCAATGATACTCTAACACCAAGCCTCTCTCTGAGTATGCCCAATAAATTTTGAGCAGAATCTCACATACTTTTATATATTACACCCTGCATTTCTAATGGCTAAAACCTTGGGAAAAGCGACTGAATATCAATTAGAAATAAAGTACTGAGGGATCCTAAGTTTTGCACTATAAAAGAATTTTCGCTGTGGTGTCACCCTTCAAAGGCTTGTGTCATAAGAATTGTACTAGGCATGGTGATCCCAGTGGAAGCATTGCCATATCTAACACACAAAAAGGCAATACTCTGATAATTTGGACAAAACAACTTCCCTCTTGAAAATGCACAGTCAGGTTCTCCAATTTATAAACCAACCTTGTTTACTTAAGCTTGTGAATAGGCCCAGACACTGATTTGTCAGCACTAGACATGTTAAATGGCATGAAAATCAGTGGCTTTGTAAATAGCRGTAGCATTCACATCCATTTATTGTTCACAGGCTAATAATACAGCATCTCTTTGTGATGTTAACCAAAATAGTATCAGTGCTGCAACCTGGCAAATGAGAGCCTACAGCTTTAATAGTCTAAATTTTCTGCCAGAGTACCCACCTCCCAGGGCATTTGCCTAACTGCACAGGTGCCCCACAGTGTGCTCCTTTCAGGCCTTGACAATTGTATTTGCATATGTGTTTCAGAGAAAAAGGGAACCAAACAGAACCAAGTTCAAACAAATCACTGAGGCTGCTTTTGTGACCTGGCCTGTAAAAGTTTCAGAAATGGATGGATGGAAAAGTAGTTCTCTGGCGCTGGTTGTGTTCTGTTCAGAGTGCCAGTTGCGTGTTGCATGGACCCTCTGACTGTACTGCTCACTCAACATCTCATTCGGCAGCTTTCACCACATCCCCCATCTCTGAGCATCAGCAGATGTTGACCTTTTACATACTGAATTGGGAAATTCCAGTATTGTTTTCCTTTATTTTGAAATCAGTGGTGACCTGAAAGGATGCTTTGTTGTGCCTTTGGAAAATGTATTAATCTTTACTATCAGGAAACTAGGAAAATTTAGCTCATAATACCTGCGACAAAAACCATTTGTCTCAAAGTGACAATTTGTACTCTGCCTTCAGTRCACCTAGGGCTTCTCAGCTTGGAATGCAATGGGTGTTTTCTCAGGTTTCCAGCAAGCAGGATGTAAGAGCTCCCAGGGGTCACCCAACATCACACATGATTAGCTTGCCTGTTGCCTGGCTTTTAAGGTACAGAGATTTTTATGATAAAACCATCAAACATGATCGTATCTTCCAGGTTGCTTTAATGGCATTCCCAAGTTCCTTCTTTGTGGGCTTATAAGGTGCTTGCCKTGTGCATGGGGTATTTCTTTTCTCTCCAAGGGGCAAGAATTCCCCTGTAGACAATTCGGTGCCTGTTCTAGAGGGTATGGCAAGGGAGTTTCCAAAGGACAAGTTGGAGAAGAGGAAGTTGCTTGGATTTTTAACTAAGTTTGGGTGTTTGCCAGGGCTTTTTCCCCTACCCYAAAGAAGAAATCAATGAGCATCATTCCACAAGCTATGAAGGAAGATACCATTACAACAAATATAACACCCATGAGACTCTGATCATCAAAGTGTATCTCAAGGAAAAGAAATGATGTATATTATTGATGTAAATTATTGATGTGTGTAACCATAAGTTTACATACATATGCTATATACACAATGACTAAAGTTTTGGGTGTCCAGATAGATTTCAGTRTAGATCTCAAATTGTCAACGCCTGTATTAAGGCATACATGGACAGAGCAGTCATCCTTTCCGATCATCTGCTAAAAATACTTTTGAAACAAATTTCCCATTAAGGTCATTTGTACCTGCTGTTGTCTATCTGTTAGGAAATAGGTTTCCCAAACATCCCAAGGGTAGTTGATTTAAAACTCACTCCTTTTGWTGTGCTTTGACCATGGATGAAAAAATACTGATGATGTTGTGAGCAATTAATGAATCCCAAAATAGATAGGCAGCCCAGGAGCCTTCTCATCAATATTTTGTTTCACCTTACCTGATGTGGTACCAATTGATTCAGGTTTTGCTTTTTTTTAATAAAGTATACTTATAAGTAAACATTCACAATTTTATTTACGAGAACATGTGTTGATGCCAATGATCCAAATTAATAGTTGACCTGTAACGGGTATAAAGTGATAAATGGGTTAAAGTGATAAACTAATCATTGACTTCTAGCATACATAATCTGACCCTTAGTCCTTCAAAGCAAATGATTCTACTAATTATGTTAAACTATATATTATAAATAGCACAATTAGACAATCAAGAATTGGCCTAATGAACAAATAGCTTTGTGTGGGTGATTATCACTTCCTACAAAAGCGAATGACAGATGAGTCAGAGGTTAAAGGTCAACCATGCATGAAATGGAAAATCACATCAAGAAAGACTTGGAATTTTTAAATAATTAGAAATGTCTTAGAAGACCAACAAAAGAAAAGAAAGACATAAATATCTGGTGACCCTGCCTATAGATTATTTCCTTTCATATGACTGACATGATGGCATATAAAGCAGAGAATATTGATGAAGTTGTTTGGCTCACTTTCCCCGGCCTCTGCCATCCCCAAATTATTCAATTTGAAACAGCAATTCACTTAAGGGAAATATCTCATTTTCCTGTTTTCTCTTATAATGAGCATTGCCTTCATCACAGAGTTAAAAATTCATCTCTAATTTGATTTAATTGGCAGGACTATTAAACAAGGGAAGTGCTACCTGCAGGGATCCATCAGCCTGTTGAGAAAGCCCAGAGATGTTTTCATACTTGAAAATATTTGATGCCARTTGGAGACCTTGTAAAAGTTGTTTTCCATACAGCATCTAAATATTTTTGTGCAGTGCCAATTTATTGTAGAAACTTGGATCGTGAGGAAAATAACAAGGTTAATCATTTCCCCACCCAAGGGTTATTAATAATCGTGTTCATGCTATCCAGAGAGCTTCAGTGTATGTTTGCTGTCTTTTCCCCTTTGCTTTAATACTTCTAAATCCCCCCAATAAAAGTTTCATTTGAATTGCCCTTTAACTAATTAGTTTTTATACAATGAGGAAAAAAATTACCAGGCTAGTGTAGCAATATAGCAAATTGCATGGTGTGCTACATTAATTTTGAATTGTTTGCTGATGTTCTAGAAGGAAAACTGAGGTCCCCSGTGAAATGCCTTTGGGAATGTTCTATCATATACCCAGTACCTTCATCACAGATCCATTTCATATTTGTGTAACTAGCATTTCACACTCATAAAACCTTTGTGGTTATCCTAAAATTGAATGAACATTAGGATGTAGCTGCCTCCTTAATCCTGAAAAACAAACCGAATAAATCCAATAAAGGAGCAGGGAAGAATCTCCCATTTAAAAAAAAAAAACTGAGAAGTTTTTACCAATCTTTATTGGCAATAATTGCCTTTCTTAGGCAAAGTGACTTTTTCATGTGTTAATCTTTTCCCAGGCAAATTTTAGAAATTCAAGCCACTTTTTTTTTATTATTTTTTTAAGTGTGAGCTGATATCTCTACCTTTGCTAGTTATCTTTGTTGGGTCAGAAAATTTCTTGTTGAAACAAAGATTTGCCAAGATTTCAAAAACATCCTTTAATAAAACTTCAAACATGTTAATTGTAAATTCCTGCACAATCGTCGTTTCTTCAAGTATGTGAATATCCATTGAAGTCTTCTTGGAGTACTAAGGCAGAAAGTATCCACTGCCCCTCATAAGAAAAGTTAGGCACAGAACTTGGCTCAAAATTGTAGGGAGATGTAGCTACATGTTTACAGAATTTTATTTTTCAAATAGTGAAATCTGAGGCTTAGAGTGGTTAAATAACTTGTCCAGTGTAATATGGCCAGGAATGGATATCTGACTCCAAAGGCTACATAGAACATGTAGTGGAAGTGGAAGAAATTAGAAAAAAAAAAGATTCCAGATTTATAGACCCCCTCCCCTAGATGCTTCTACTCGACTACATTGCACTTTAAAAGACCAGCTAATTCTTGAATTGATTCATTTTGTTTCAGGGAGTCACAGAGTCCTGGAGAAAAGTAGAAGTTCATGTTTTCTTACATCGCTGTGTTGTCAACAGGGAGAATTTACACACATSGAGTCTGAGGACAG